CCAGAGAGAAAAAGAAAAATACCGGATGGTCTCACTGATAGCAGGAATCTAGAAAACTTAAATAAGGGACCAGGAAAATGAATAACTATAAGAAAGTGAAAATCAAAATCAACAAACAACTATGAACCAGAGACACTCTTTGGGGGGCGGGGAGGGGAGGGATTGGGGTCAAAATAAGGGGATTGCAATTGTATGGGGAATATAAAAATAAAATTTATAATAAAAAAACCAAATAAAAATGAAAAAGTAAAATGAACAAAAGTATTTAAATTACCATGAAAAAATTAAACAATCCATTTAATTAATTCCATGCTGTCCATGTCCTTTTTGAAAGCTTCTCACCCGGAAACTTAGTATCCAAATATTTTTGTGAAACTCTAGTTTACCTCAGTGTTAGATATAAATTAGTTAACAAAAATATATATAAATAAATAATAAACATTTATTACTTTAGAAATGCATCTTTTAAATCTTTTGTTAACCATTTAGTAACATAAATTCAGCCATTATAATTAATGACCATTTAATTGAGATAATTTATGAATTATACAACTCTTTATATTTATTTGCTTGTACATTTATCAAGAAGTAAATTGTTTTGGGGCCTCCCCGGTGGCGCAGCGGTTGAGTGCTGGGTTGCGAAGCTGCCTGCGACCTCTGCAGAGCTGGTTCGATCCCCGGCTGCTCCCCGGCCACTGGAGGAGGGTCCCACATGGCGTGCAGACCTCTCCTGCCGCCCGCTGCTCCCCTCAGCAGTGTACTTCGGTCCTTCTGCCTGCTCTGCTCCCCGCTCTGGCTCTGGTGAATTCTCTCACCCTCCTGCGCTTCTGACTGTACCCAGTGCTTGTATAAATAAATAAATAAATCTTTTAAAAAAAATACAAAAGAAGTAAATTGTTTTATGTAGAAAACAAAAAAAAAAAGAATTATTTTTATGGTAATAGTCTTTCTGTTTCTGAGAGGAGCTGAGGAAAAAAGCAATGTCTCAGGGTCTTTTCTGTGAATGCTCACTCTTCTAAGTTACTTGGAAGAAGTGTTGTGTAGAAATCAGGTAATGGCAATAAAATTTGCCCCATTACTGAGGGTGGCACTGTATCTCCCAGAAGTCACATTCACCTCCATCCTGTTTAACCTCTCCAGGTCAATCAGCTTTCCTCAGGAAAGGACCAGGGTCACAGCCTGCAGTCAATCTCACGCATCCACGAATTCACCTGCTTGAGCATCTCCAGGAAGAAGACACTGGTACCAAGCACTTCATAGAGAAACTCCCATTTATTGGTGCAGCAGAGATGATCCCATTTTACAGATCCGAAAGGTAAAGTAACTTGTTAGGATCAAAGGGCAGGAAATGTCAGAGTAAGAAGGAAATCTAATTTTTCTCATTTTTTTTTTAATAGAGGCATGTTTTATTTATTTGTTTGTTTTGTTTATACATGCACTGGGTACAGTCAGATGCAGGGGAGAGTGAGAGAACTCACCAGAGCCAGAGCGGGGAGCAGAGCAGGCAGAAGGACCGAAGTACACTGCTGAGGGGAGCAGCGGGCAGCAGGAGAGGTCTGCGCGCCATGTGGGACCCTCCTCCGGTGGCCAGGGAGCAGCCAGGGATCGAACCGGCGCCGCAGAGGCCGCGGGCATCTTCGCAACCCAGCGCTCAACCGCTGTGCCACCGGGGAGGCCCTAATTTTTCTCATTTTTTAAAAAAGATTTATTTATTTATGCATACAAGAACTGGGGTACAGGCCAGAGGTGTGGAGGGTGAGAGGATTCACCAGAGACAGAGTGAGGAACAGAACAGGCAGATCTACTGAAATACACTGCTGAGGGGAGAAGTGGGTGAGACAGGAGAGGTCTGCTGCACCAGGTGGGTCGGCTCCCTGGCCAGGGATGGAACTCATGCTGCAGTGGCTGCAGATTGCTTCATAGTGCTGAGACTTAACCCCTTCCCAAGAGCCACCAGAGAGACCCCTCTTCTCTGGATTACTGCAGTGGTTTCCTAACTGGTCTCCCTGCATCTACTCTCCCTCTTTCCAGTATTATCTTCACATTACCACCACATTAAAACCTTTTATTTATTTATTTATTTTTAAAGATTTATTTATACAAGCACTGGGTACAGTCAGAAGCTCAGGAAGGTGAGAGGATTCACCAGAGCCACAGCAGGGAACAGAACAGGCAGACTGACGAAATACACTGCTGAGGAGAGCAATGGATGTGGCAGGAGAGGTCTGCGCGCCATGTGGGACCCTCGCCGGTGGCCGGGGATTGAACTGGCGCTGCAGAGGCTGCAGGCAGTTTTGCAGCCCAGCGCTCAACTGCTGCGCCACCAGGGGAGGCCCCACGTTAAAACCTTTTAATAGATGCCCTTTGCTCTTAGGAAACAGGCAAAATTACTTCCTAAATGCAAGGTCTCATATAGTCTTTTTCCCCCTGTTCAATATTCTAATTAATCTCCATCCTGTTCTCTGGTGTTTTGGGGGTGCTGGCTTTCTTGCAGTTCCTTGAAATCACCAAATCCCTCCTCCTACAGTGTCTTTGCACATGCTGTTCCTCTCTACTCCACTTGAATAAATCTTTCTCAAGTCATTTTTCCCAGAACCCCGACTAGGTCATTTCTTGGCATCTGTCACTTTTGCATTTGTTGGTGAAATCATGTGATTCAAATCTATGTTCCCTAATATGTCAAGGACCAATGGCCCTTTTTTGTTTGTTGGTGTAGAAGAACTGGGGTGAAGGCCAGAGATGCGGGGGCGGGTGGGATGGGGTAAGAGAATTCACCAGAGACAGATTGGGGAGCAGAACAGTTGGATTTACCAAAATATAATGCTGAGGGGAGCAGCAGGTAAAATAGGAGAGGTCTGCTGTGTCATGCGGGTTGGTGGGTTGGCTCCCTGGCTGGGGATCAGGATCAAACTCAGGCAGCAGCAGTTATAGTGCTGAAACTTAACCCTTAGGCCACCAGGGAGGCCTGACCACTCACTTCGTGCAAAGCACATGCTAAGTCTTAAGAGCCAATGAATCTACAACATACCAGGCAGTTTTCCTAGCAGGTAACATTATTAACTCACTCAAATCCTCCTAAGAGCCCTAAATGATGTATGCTCAATTACTGGCCTCATTTTTCATGAATAAAGTAAATAACACAAGCTAAGAAGTACCAGAGCTGGGATATGAATTCAGGCAGTCGGTTTCTGGAGTCTGTATGCTAAATACCCATGTGCTCAACAGGATAGTGCTGCATGCTCTGGATAGGCTACAACAGTACCTTAGATATTATTTGCTTGGGTTTTGGTAAAGATCTTACACTTGTCTTGAACTCTGCTCCAAAAACTTCATGGCATTTCATTCCCTTACCTTAGAAACCTATTTGTCCTCACCAGCATTATCACTGATAAGCCCAGGCAGCGGTTCTGAAACGTTGCTAGAGGGCAAGAGAAAGCTGGTTTGGAGTAAGATAAAATTGAGAATCATTTGTAGGGTGGGTAATGCACACAAGGAGAAAGATTTTTCACAGATATCATTTCATGTAACCTTAATTGATCCTAATGAAGCTACACATTTGAACAGTTAATAGATGAAGCAAAAAGCTGGGGGTCTGCCTAGGCATAAGAAATCATCTAGTTACAAGATGGAGGAAGATGGTGTCCCTGCACTTCCACCTTCAGAACTGCAAAGCTAGCTCCAGCAGAAAAAGCCCTCTGCTTCCTCTTTTAAGGATTAAAGATAGCTGAACAAGTTTTCCTAATTCTTGGGTGGAGTTTCTCAGAGAGGCCTCCTAGGCTTTCCCAATATGGCTAAAGAGAGCTACCATCCCACAAGTTCAAGCTATGAGATAAAGAGCTAGTGACATTCAATTAACTCTAGATCAGTATGATGAAGATGTCACAATTCACAAAATTCCTCACCTGGCGCCCATGTACCAATGTTAGGTGAAGTCAAGAAACTATACACATTTCCTCTATGTGCATTTTGCTATGGAAAGGCCTGAATTCGTTTCTTCCAGGGCTGAGCACGTAAAAAGCCAAGAAACACCATCTTTTATGCCTCTACCTTCTTTCTGGCTACAGTTGTGTCTTTATGGGGGTCCCTTCGGAGGAGGAAGCATTTCTCATTCTTCAAGTACCTGGAAGCAATGGATGGGGATCTAAGCAGCAGTCATATGCCCGCCCCATGTGAGTTAGACCTCAAACCCTATAAATAGGTCTAAGAGGGCTGCAGGATCCGTCGCCTCCTCCGAGGGGGAGCTGCGCGCAGGGCCGGGGGCGGTCCCGTCTCGCCCAGGACACCAAGCGGCCGTGTAACCTTGGACGCGTCGCGGACCCTCTCTGGGCTTCTGCCTCCACATCCGTAACTTGGAAGTTGAGCCACATGGTCTTCAAAGTCCTCCCCGCCGAGCGCCTGGTACCACACAGGCCTAGTCATGAAAGCAGCTTCCTGTGGGCGCGGTGCAGGACTTTAACGGTTCCTCAACACGCCCCTCGCAGTGACGGCGCCTTCCCAACCGCAGCCCGGGCGCGGCTCCGCCCCTTCCCGGGGGCGTCCCATGGTGCCCCGCGCAGGGCTCCTAGAGCGGCGGGGCGCCTCCCGCCTTTCCGCCGCCCCGACCCCGAACTCCTCTCCCCAGTTCTGCCGGGCGCCTTACCCTATCAACTTCTCGCTTCCCCACCAATCACGTGAGCCCGGAGTCTCGCTTTCGGCCCACCCTCCTCCCGGCGCTCAGCCGCTCCGGGCGCAAGGCCCTGACCCGCCAACCCAATCAGCGGCCGACTTTTGCCTGCCCCACCCCAACCTCCCTCCGCTCAGCCAATCCACGCTCTTCACCCCGCGGCCCGCCCAGCCAACCCGGGCCTTGAAACCTGCGGGCGAATGGGCGCGGGGCGGCCCTTCAACGCTGGCCGTCTGGCCAATTGGGGATTCCGCGTGGCCCTGGCGGCAGCCAATCGGCACGGAGCGCGGTGCCGCCGCGGACAAGTCCGGCCCGAATATCCCTCCGCCTTCCTCCCTCCCTCCCTCTCTCGCCCTCCCAGCGAGCCGCCGTTCACTTACCTCCTCCCTTCCTTCTTTCTCCCTCCGCCACCCGAGCACCAGCCGCGCTCTGAGCTGCCCCCGGGGTCCCTCCCCCGCCGCTAGAGGAGCAGCTGCCGCCGCCGCCAGCAGCAAATTAGGAGGGAGGCAGGAAGGAGCGGAAGGAAGGGAGCCGGTGCGACTACCAAGAGGGAGCCGGTGAATGGGCTTGTGGTGACCCCCGCCCCCCACCCCACCCTCCCTTCCCACCCGACCCCCAACCCCCATCCCCAGTCAGAGCCGCCGCCCGAGAGTCCGGACCGTCGTCTTCAGAGGAGTCGCCACCACCCCCTCCGCCATGGAGCTGATCACCATCCTCGAGAAGACCGTGTCTCCCGGTAGGGCGCGGGGGCCGGGGGTCGGGCTGAGGTGATTGGGTGGGGGGAGGGGAGGCCGTGGCCCCTCTGACCCTGTTCCTCTCCCACTTTCCTTGCCTCCAGATCGGCTGGAACTGGAGGCGGCGCAGAAGTTCCTGGAGCGTGCGGCCGTGGAGAACCTGGTGCGTGCCACCCCGCCGGCTCCCATCCCGCCGGCTCCCCATCCCAGCGTGCGGGCCTTCCCGCCCTCCCGGAGGCCCAGGCCTCGGGAACCCACCCCGCCCCATCCCGTCCCCCTCCCCCCCACCCGGTCCAACCTAACCCCGCCGTCGGGAAGCCGGTGGGTGTGTCCCGCCCCGGGCCCCGGCAGCGGGCCAATGGCGCGGCGCGCCGGAGTGACTGTCGGCCAATCGCCGCGCGGCCTGAGGGCGGCGGTGCGGCGGGAGGGAGAAAGAGGGAGGGAAGGGAAGTTAGGTTGCGCGGCGCTGCGTGTTCAGCGCGGGTGGGGGTTGGGGAGCCGGGCCTAGGGGCCATGTGGAAGCTCCGAGCCCAGCTGCCCGCCCTGTTCTGACCGGAGCCGGCTTCTCCTTCCTGTCCCACAGCCCCTGGGATTCTTTCCACCTACTTCCCGCAGCTCTCGCCTTCCCTGTCTCCCTTGGCCTGTGCTCGTGGTCACACCTGGCATGCGAAGGCCTCTTAACCTATTCTGACTAATATTTTCCCTCTCCTGCCCGGTTATTTCTTCTTGGGTTTTTTTGTTTGTTTGTTTTTTGCTTTTGCTTGGATGCATGGAGACTTGATCTGCAGCCCGACGACAGTCTTAAGGCTCATCCTTGAGATCGGGCCTGTTTGCAAATGAAATCACAGAGGAAAGATCCTCGTTTTTCGTATTTTCAAATGGAAGGGATACCGAAAAAAAAGCGAGGAGCCCACTATAAAGACTGGACCTTTGTGTAGACACATGGGGTGCACTAGTTGAACCGCCCTGTGTGCCAGTAACCTTTCTCTCAGGTTGCCTCTCCCGTTAGGGGGGTGGGGAGCAAGAAGGGGTGGATGTTTGACATCTCTTAAAGGTTGTGGGTAAACGCTGAATAACGCAGTAACCAAATGTGTTCCTTTGTGTTACCTAGCCAAAATATAAATAATAAAATAAGCCCCCCAAAAGTGACAAGTCTTATTTCATATAAACTGCCTTTGAATAAATTTTTTGCCCTTGTATGTGCTAATTTTTCACTAACCTTTTTGTTGTCTTTCTGTAGAAAAGATTTTTTTTCTACTTAGGCACTTCCACTTGGGGGTGTTTTTTTTCTGCTTTTGCAAATTTGCAAGATGCCGTTTATTCCTAACGTTCTTTAATGTTTCATAATACAAGTTTCAAGAGTTCTCTGATTGCAGAACTTGTTAATTGTCAGAAACTATCTGCTTTTTTTTCCTGCTAATTTTTCCACTTGGATAGCTTTTTGCAGGATAGAAGGGGTGTATATGGGTGCTAAATTTTTAAACAAAGGTGGTAGTTGAGGGAAGCTATGCATTACGAAATACTGAGCATGCTTTTCAGGAATCTGCTGTTAGTGGACAACTCAGGTGAAATGTCTTTATTGTGCCGGCAAATAAAATACTTTCTTTGATAAGTTTGCCTTGATGCTTTTATAAATCTGATTTTTCTCATTGTTCCCCTCTTGGTGAACAGTCACAATAACAATTTGTGAATTTGTATCCTAAGTATGTTTTTAAGTTTATAAGTTTTCCCTCTCTTGAGCAAGATGACCTACTTCCATGAGATCTGATCTGAAACCGCCTGAGTATCATTCCTTTTTGGAGTAAGATTTTTTAGATTTAGAAAAAAGATTTACTTTATACCTTGTCATAACACATTTAATCCCTTAACAGGTATTTATTGAGTACCAGGCACTGTTTTAGGTATATGGAAGAATCCTCATTAGGAATCTTGAAGTAGATATTTTAGAGTTTTTTGAAATGTTAGGTCTTGAAAAATATGGATTTCCCCCCAAGTGTTGCAGTGTCCCATGAATTATCTTAAATTGGTGAAACTCCCAAGAGATGTTTTCATTCACAAATGCATTTTATTTTAACAGCCCACTTTCCTTGTGGAACTGTCCAGAGTGCTGGCAAACCCAGGAAACAGTCAGGTTGCCAGAGTTGCAGCTGGTCTACAAATCAAGAACTCTCTGACATCTAAAGATCCAGATATCAAGACACAATATCAGCAGAGGTGGCTTGCTATTGATGCTAATGCACGAAGGGAAGTCAAGAATTATGTAAGTAACATCTGCTTTTTGTCATATAACCCAGGGAACAAGAAATACCTTTGTCATTTCTTTTGTCATTTGCTTGGAAAAGAGTTGACAGTGTAGTAATGGGTTTCTGGGATCTAAACTTTACTTGAAATAAAAATTTTACTTGAATAAACACTTTCTCAGTTCATTTTCCCCATCCCCATTTGTGATTTGGAATTCTTTTCAGATAATTAGACTGCAGAAGTTTGGGAACTGTTAGAATTTGTAGGTTCTTCAGTGAAGTAGTATATAAATTTGTGGTTCTCAAACTTGGTCTATAAGAGTCACTAGGGAATTTGTTAGTAACATATATTTCCAAGTTTCCTCCAGAGATTCTGATTTGGAGAGCTGGCTGAGAGATACTTTTAAAAATGTCTTCCCAAGTTATTCTCCCTGTCAGCCAGTGCCTAGCTCTTGTTGAGCTTCTGCGGTAGATAATTCAGTGGTGGTTTAAGCATAACATTGTGTGGCATCAGAAGGTGAATTAAATACTGCCTTAGACCTTTCAAGCTCACAAAAGTTTGTGAAATAAGGTTGGCTCTAACGGTGCTTTTATCTATTTGGAAATTACTAAGTACTTTTTTTTTTTAAGATTTATTTATTTATGCATACAAGGGCTGGGGTACAGGCCAGAGGTGCAGGGGATGAGAAGATTCACCAGAGACAGAGAGGGGAGCAGAACAGGCAGCTGTACTGAAATACACTGCTAAGGGGAGCAGAGGGTGAGACAGGAGAGGTCTGTTGTGCCATGTGGGTTGCTCCCTGGCAGGCTGGGGATTGACCTCATGCTGCAAAGGCTGCAGGTAGCTTCATAGTGCTGTGCTTAACCCCTTGTGTCACCAGGGAGGCCCGAAATTACTAAGTGCTTTAAAAAACTTTTAGGTTTTTAGATGCATTTAGAGTGGGCTGACAAGTTTTGAGGAAAATTGAGCATCCCATGTTGCTCTTCATTCATGAAATTCATTCTAATTGCAACAAAAGAGTCAAAGATTCAGATATATGAAGAGATGGGCTTGCCTTTTTTCAAAATTCTTGTTAATGAGGTTCTTTAGTGGCCTGTCTTACGTGGATAAGGCATAAAGGTGGGAGAGTAAGTCAAGCATCTGTGCAGTCACCCTTTGGTCTTTGGCCTTTGAGGGAAAAACAGTGGGGTTCCTAGTGTACTTGTGCAGGTCATGGTTATTTATATATATCATAATTTGTGATTTTCTGGTTCTAGGTGTAAATGTTAGGTAAATTATTGCCCTTTAAAGCAGTCATTTCTTTAATAGACCTTTCTTCCCTAGTCTTTCATCGAGGTACCCATGGTGGGGAACTAGGTTACTAAACGCACCTTATTTTGCATCATCTTTGTAGTCTGTCGAGCTATTTCTGTCTACATTGGGTCTGTTCATACAATAGCATTTTTTCTTCCCCCAGCAATTTGAAATAAATGAGATTTATTCCATCAGCCAGTGGAAATATTGGTGCTTACAGTGTCCATTTGGTTTTCCTGTGACAGTAAATGATAAGACATGATTGGAACTGTAATTGACTTTGGGGGAAGGGGTTGTAAAATGGCTTAACACCCAAGTTTTTAAAAAATTGAGTAAGAGTTTGTATAGGCATTGTTGAGCCCATATGCTTGAAGAAAAATGTGGCAATTATCTTAACTTTTTTCCCTTTCATAACACATCTGGTAATTAATGCTTTCTAAATACTGGTGGTTGTCTCTTGAAATCAGGGTCTTGAACACCAGTTGAAAGCTAGTTTTGTTATCTTATCATAATTGGAGGTTACCCCAAGTTTAAAAACAATAATTTTCAGTAGTCAGGAAATGGACATTAGTGGCCTCTAAATCATCTTGTGTGATATTAAATTCTAGAAGCAATTTGGAGGAGCAAAGATACAGGTAGAATGTGATTAGCTACTCTGTAAGTGTACTAGGAGGAGATTTGGGCTAGCCTGCCTTTTTTGGACAGTTCATCTGTAAGCTCCCTTTCCCCTCCCACCCAAGTCTTTGACATAGAGTTTTTAAAGTCCACTGTAGCCCAGATAGTCCTAAAAGAGCAAAACCCGCATTTAGAATCAGTCAGAACTGCTAATAGCTAGATGTTAGGAGTGGGGGTGCCAGGGATAATGGTAAACTGTATGAAGGGGAAAGATGGGGAGTTTATTATTATTAGCTACAAAGCAGGATACTAAGAAGTGACCTGACCCAGTCAGTAGAGCTGGCCTCAATATCTGGCAGCTACTGTTTGTCCTGTGTTCATGCCAGGAACAGTTAGCTATTTGCCTTATGAGTGGACTGGTGATTCTTCGTGAGTTCATTGACTGAATTAGTTGATCATGGTAATAATTAACCCTGGGTCAATTGTGGCTTTCTCCTTTATCTGTACCATTTCCTTTACCCTTTACATAAATACTTGTATGAGTATCATTTCAAGCTAGAGTGTTTAATGATAAGTGGATCTCATTTTAATTGATATATCTGATTAGTTCTTGGTCTCTGTTTTTGACTGAGAAGAACAGTTCTTTGATTCTTGGGCAAAGAGTAGATGATCCTTTTCAGATTAGAAATTAAATGGGGATTGGTCATTAGGTGTTGGTAATGTCAGTAATTTTGTTTCTGTATCTAATGATGTTACTTGACCAAGGCCTTTCCATGAAAGTTACTCAGGGTGCTGAATTGTCAATGACCAAGAGGAAGGTTTGTTTCACATTTCATGAGTGGGAAAATCTCGTCCTTTATTAGGGTTAGACAGTGATCTACTATGAATCAGACCCACTGGAATGCCCCAGAGTTAGCCTCATTCTAAAATTGCATACTTTCCAGAAAACAAGGCTGCATTATGCTACCAACAAGGTGAATTTTGTCACTATTCTCTCCTTCTGACCTTTTAATGCAATTTGTGGTTCTAATTGACTTTTCTGTCTTTCATTGAATATTGAATTGAGGTGTCTCACTTTAAGAAATTATATTTGGAAGTAGGGGGTGGTTGGTTTCATTTCTAGACTTTGAGGCAATGTTGATTGTGTTGGTTTTGATATTGGGGCTTTTTTTCCCAACAGCTGCCTATACTGTTGACCTTTTCTACTTCTATGTGTTATAGAAAATTTAGGGAATGATGAACTGTTTTCGTAGGAAACTATGCTCAGGTAGTATAAGAAATTGATGTCGCTTTCTTGTGTGTGCATGTGCAGGTTTTGCAGACTTTGGGCACAGAAACTTACAGGCCTAGTTCCGCCTCCCAGTGTGTGGCTGGTATTGCTTGTGCAGAGATCCCAGTGAACCAGTGGCCTGAACTCATCCCTCAGCTGGTGGCCAATGTCACGAACCCCAACAGCACAGAGCACATGAAAGAGTCAACTTTGGAAGCAATCGGTTACATTTGCCAAGATATAGTAAGTGCTGTCTGATGTGTCTAACTTAAAAGTTTATTGTAACTGTGACCACAAAAAAAAACCCAAGCAACTGCAGAGTGTTTTGAAAAGTGTACTGCTTTATTTATTTAGACTTTCATATTTAGACAGTTTATTTATCCTCACATTGCTAATTGTCCCCTAAAGTAAGACTTCAGGGTCACAAAGTCAAATAGAAATCCATGGTGTTTAGAAATGCTTACATTCTAGGCTTTTGTGAGAGGATATTTTTAACTTGGAAGATCCCTTACCTCACTCCTTACTTAAGATCCTCAGTATACCTTGGATGTTGTGTTCCTTTTTTGTTGTTGTTTACTATTTTACAGAAACACTTTGCCAACTCTTTTAGTTGGTTTAACCAGTGGAGACACAATGTACTAAGTTAAATTCAGCCTACTACTAGGACTGTTGTTGCACACTTTTGGTATGTGTTTTGAGATAACAGACTTGATAAAACAAAGATACAGCACTTGACGTGGAATTAGACTGCCTAGATATTGTGCCCCATCCTTGGCCTTTGATGTTCTCATACTTTATTTCATTTGATGCAGATGCCTGGGAGAAAACACCAGACTGCTATCTTCGTTTGCACAGGATGGGGTGGGAAGAGACAGCTTTACCTCATGCCCAGAGTCATTATGCTAAGAAATCGGAGATGAAGTTGATGAATTTAACTTGTTTTAGTTCAGTTTTGGGTTACTAATAGTCTGAGATATTTTTTGCAGGGTTATCCCAAAATGGAAATCTGGAGAAAAGCATAGAAAGTCAAGATACTCATTTGAGTGGATTTCACAGTTTAAAGGATGGCTGGTTAATCACAAGTTCATTATTTCATTCACTGCCCTTTTTCTTCTCTGCTTCTTTTAGGACCCAGAGCAGCTACAGGATAAATCCAATGAGATTCTGACTGCCATAATCCAGGGGATGAGGAAAGAAGAGCCTAGTAATAATGTGAAGCTCGCAGCCACGAATGCACTCCTGAACTCACTGGAGTTCACCAAAGCAAACTTTGACAAAGAGGTAAGTGTCTTTTGACAAGTATAGATTCCAAGAATTTAGAAGGGAGAGTTAAGTGAAAATTGGTTTTAAGTTGATTTAGAAAATACCATCTTGCTTGGAAGTATTCATTTCCCTTCAAATTAAGGTTTTTGTAACGGAAAAATGACCATGGTGCAGGTATTTTCTTTTTTTTTTTTTTTTAAGATTGATTTATTTGTTTATACAAGCACTGGGTACAGTCAGAAGCGCGGGAGGGTGAGAGAATTCACTAGAGCTAGAGTGGGGAACAGAACCGGCAGACAGACGAAACACTCTGCTATGGGAGTAGCGGGCACGGCAGGAGAGATCTGTCCGCCATGTGTGACCCTTGCCGTCGGCCGGGGATCGAACCGGTGATGCAGAGGCTGTGGGCAGCTTTGCAGCCCAGCGCTCAACCACCGCGCCACCAGGGGAGGCCCGTATTTGCTATTTTTCATCAAACTTTTGGGAATAATGTAACCTAAAGTGTTTTCTAAGATTAGGATTTTCTTTTTGTAGTCTAAAGTGTGGGAATGCGGGCCTCCCCGGTGGCGCAGCGGTTGAGCGCTGGGTTGCGAAGCTGCCCGCAGCCTCTGCAGCACCGGTTCGATCCCCGGCTGCTCCCCGGCCACCGGAGGAGGGTCCCACATGGCGCGCAGACCTCTCCTGCCGCCCGCTGCTCCCCTCAGCAGTGTACTTCGGTCCTTCTGCCTGCTCTGCTCCCCGCTCTGGCTCTGGTGAATTCTCTCACCCTCCCGCGCTTCTGACTGTACCCAGTGCATGTATAAACAAAAACAAACAAACAAACAAACAAATAAATAAATAAATAAATAAAATATGTGCCTCTTTAAAAAAAAAAAAAGATGTTAAAGTGTGGGAATGCTTTGGGATTTCTTTAAAAAGTTGTAGGGAAAAAAATTTAAAAATACAGAAATTGCAATCTTTCATTCCTCTTTAGAAAGGTGGTTTTAATTCATTTTTTTAAAGATTTATTTATGCATGTAAGAACTGGGGTACAGGCCAGAGGTGCGAAGTGGGGGATCCTGGGAGAATTTACATGAGACTTTGGGGACTCAAATACACTGCTGAGGGGAACAGTGGGTGAGACAGGAGAGGTCTGCTGCACCATGTAGGTCAGCTCTCTGGCTGGCCGGGGATGGAACTCATGCTACAGAGGCTGCATATAGCTTCACAGTGCTGTGCTTAATGCCTTGTGCCACCAGGAAGGCCCAGTTTTAATTATTTAGTTTGTTTTATTAATATATATATATATTTTTTTTTTCCTTTTAAAGAATTTATTTATACAGGAACTGGGGTACAGGTCAGAGGCGCGGGAGGGTGAGAGAATTCACCAGAGATAGAGTGGGGAGCAGAACAGGCAGACAAACCGAAGACACTGCTGAGGGGAACAGTGGGCATTGCAGGAGAGGTCTGCCACGCCGTTTGGGTTTCTCCCTGGCTGGTGGGGAATCGAACCTGCGCTGCAGAGTCTGTGGACAGCTTCGGTCCGCTGTGCCACTGGGGAGGCCCTATTTCATTAATATTTTGCCAGAAAGTGTTTTCTCTTATTATTTATATTCAGTTGTATTAAAAGATAACACTAACGTTAATTTTACCATCTTAACTATTTTTTTTAAAGACTTATTTATTTATGCATACAAGAACTGGGGTTACAGGCCTGAGGTGTGGGAAGGGTGAGAGGATTCACCAGAGACAGTTGGGAGCAGAACAGGCAGACTGAAATACACTGCTAAGGGGAGCAGTGGGCGAGATAGGAGAGGTCTGCTATGCCATTTGGGTTAGCTCCCTGGCTGGGGATTGAACTTGTGCTCCAGTGGCTGCTGATAGCTTCAGTAGTGCTGAGACTTAACCACTTGTGCCACCCAGGAGGCCCCATCTTAGCCATTTTTATGTGTACTTTTCAGTTGTATTAAATATATTCACATTGTTTTGCAACCAGTCTTCAGAATTTTTTCCCTCTTGCTAAATTGAAACTCTATTAAATAACTCCCCACTTTCCTTTCCAATCCTTGGCAACCAACCTGCTTACTTTGTGTTTATATGATTTTGACTCCTCTACATTATCTCATAAATAGTCATACAGTATTTGTTTTTTGTGAATGGCTTATTTCACTTAGTATAATGTCTTCAAGGTTCATGCATATTACGGCTTTTCTCAATTTTCTGCCCTTTTCAGGCTGAACACTCCCATTTTATGTATAATACACTTTAGTCATTCATCTGTCAGTGGACATTTATGTTGCTTTCTTCCATCTTCTGGCTTGTGAGTAAAGCTGTTGTGAGCATATCTTTGAGACCCTGCTGTCATATCTATTTTTTTTTTTTTAAGATTTTATTTATTTATCCATACAGGAATCGGGGTGTTGGCCAGAGGTGTTGAGGGTGAGAGGATTCGCCCAGAGACAGAGTAGGGAGCAGAACAGGCAGATTTACTGAAATACACTGCTCAAGGGAGCAGCGGGTGAGACAGGAGAGGTCTGCTGCATCACGTGGGTCAGCTTCCAGGCCAGGGATTGAACTCATGCTGCAGTAGCTGTGCATAGCTTGATAGTGCTGAGTCTTTACCCTGTACCACCAGGGAGGCCCACCTGCTCTCATGTCTTTTAGATATATGCCCAGAAATGGAATTTCTGGATTATAAGGCTATACTATTTTTGTATATGTTTGTTAACATTTCAGGCTTGCTTTTTCCCATTTCTTGATCTTTATGGTGGACAAAATGGGATGAGGTCTAAGAAGCCAAAGAAAACTGCAATCAGTTCTAATTGCTTAGAAAACAAGGTTATTCCTTTTGGTTATCAGAAGACTTGGAAGCTAGCAAATAAAGTTCATTACTCTGGGCCTTCACGGTGGCGCAGCGGTTGAGCGCTGGGTTGCGAAGCTGCCCGCGGCCTCTGCGGCGCCGGTTCCATCCCCGGCTGCTCCCCGGCCACCGGAGGAGGGTCCCGCATGGTGCGCAGACCTCTCTTGCCGCCCGCTGCTCCCCTCAGCAGTGTACTTCGGTCCTTCTGCCTGCTCTGCTCCCTGCTCTGGCTCTGGTGAATTCTCTCACCCTCCCGCGCTTCTGACTGTGCCCAATGCTTGTATGAATAAATCTTCAAAAAAAAAAAATAAATAAAGTTCATTACTCTGTTCTCCCATTTCTTACCATATTTGATGTGGATATGCCACCTCTTAGAAAATTTTGTCTGAAATCAAGTTGCTGTTTTGAATTTTCTTAAATACAAGGAAATTGATTTTCCTAAATGGGGGGGTTTTTTTTGTTTGTTTGTTTTTAAGTTAACTGTCTTTAACTCTGTGACCAACATTTTCCTGTCTGCTTCCTCCATGAAGTCTTATTAGTGAAGGTCATTTTGGGGGTTAAAAGATGAGGCCTCTCATTAGAGGCCAGGTCATATAGAAGATACCAGGGGCAGACTCTTCATAGCGCCAGTGCTATTTCAAGGGAAAACTTTGTGATTGGAGCATGGTGGTATGGGGACTTGAGGGAATGAATGAGGTTTTCCTTGAAGGAATAGTATAGCAATCTTAATATGCCTGGTTTATGTTCTGCTAATTCCCTTTATTTTTATTCTTCTTGCAGTCTGAAAGGCACTTTATTATGCAGGTGGTCTGTGAAGCCACACAGTGTCCAGATACAAGGGTAAGTGTGAGGTCATATGAAAAACCTGTCGTCTTCAGTCTTTCCTAGGAAATGTCAAAGTTGTTTGAAATATTGAAAATCCTTTGGCTTCAGATAAGGTTTAACTAATATTGTTACTAATAAGAATTTTTCTTCATGTTAGAGAGAAAAAATAGTACTTGGAAAGTAAACCTAATGGAAGTTGTCGCTTTTTTTTTTTTTTTTTAAGATTCATTTATTTATGCATACAAGAACTGCGGTACAGGCCAGAAGTGTGGGGGGTGAGAGGATTCACCAGAGACAGAGTGGGGGGAACAGAACAGGCGGATTGACTGAAATACACTGCTGAGGGGAGCAGCGGGCGAGTCAGGAGAGGTCTGCTCCATGTGGGTAGCTCCCTAGCTGGGGATCGAACTTGTGCTGCAGTGGCTACGGATAGCTTCGTGGATTGCATTTTAACCCCTGCGCCACCAGGGAGGCCCCGTCACTTCTTTTAAAAAAGGTTTAAGGACAAATGGTTTTTGATCAGTGTTGCTACTTAATTGCCATAGGGTTTTCAAGTGATTGTTTTCAGTCTTAGCTATTGAGACAGCCTTACTATAACCTAAATGTTGACCCTGACCCTTGAAGTGCTGGGAGCAACAGCATCCAGTCTGAGTGGCATTGGTGAGTTTAGTCTTGCCATGTGCCGTAACCACCTTCAAAATAAAAGAGAAGAAAAGGAGAAATAAATAGGAAGAGGTAATGAAAAAATTGAAGAGATCGATTGATCTGGGAAAATGATAGCATTACCCCCATATGTATTTTTTGATTGATCCTTTATACGCTTCTTCCGCTTGAGTCAAATTCACCTTTTCAGATTGCACTGTTATTTTTGACTATTTAATCTGCTTTTTGTAAAAGGTACGAGTGGCTGCCTTACAGAATCTGGTGAAGATAATGTCCTTGTATTATCAGTACATGGAGACATACATGGGTCCTGCCCTTTTTGCGGTAAGTATTTCTATTTTAATGTGATTTGAACTTCTGGTTAATTGCAAAGCCCAAGTTGCTATTTTGTCAGTTCTGACTTTTTTACTTAATACTGTGAAATCTAGGAAATTACTTGAGTGTTCAAGCTCATAAATGGTATGCCAAGAAAACTTGTATGGTACTTGTGCTAGTGAAATGTTTCTTTTCTCTAGCTTTCATATGTCCCCATATTTGAAACTTGAATGTCTCGTTAGATGGGAGGGTCTAATTTGAACCAGCACTTATGTGTGGCATGGGGCATTATGTTTTTCTTTTAAGATCACAATTGAAGCAATGAAAAGTGACATTGATGAGGTGGCCCTACAAGGGATAGAATTCTGGTCCAATGTTTGTGATGAGGAAATGGATTTGGCCATTGAGGCTTCAGAGGTAAGACTGGAGAGGGTTGATGTGGGAGGGGAGCTGTTAATCCAACTGGGCTTTGAGATCTATCTCCTTTGTGGATTTTTTTCCTCCAGGAAAGCTTTGTTTTGACTGGATTGAGAGGGTGTCTGCATGTATAGAACTTTTGATTTTCTCTTAGCCAAAAATCCTTCATAGAGCGACAGATAAGTAAAAAGGAATCATGATTTTATTAATCAGTCAGGCATGATTTATTGTAAATATTTATATTAGTGCTATGAACACTAGGGGGCAGTAGGCAGTCCACAATTTAACAAAGTGGCATCTGTTGCTGACTTTATAATCTTGGGAAGTCTTTTTTTTTTTTTTTAATATTTAAAGAGCAGATTTATTACAAAAGGGATAGGTCAGTGAAATACACGTGCACAGACACAAGCAGGCAGATAGAGCTGCCCCGAAAGAGACAGGTTTGCTGAGAGAGGCCTGCCTGGTTGCAGGCGGGCGGCCTTGAGGAGAGCTGCCTCTTCTGAGGGAGGTCAGTGAGGAGAAGTCCCTGCATGGTACAGGTCGCAGGCAGGAAGTCTGCTGCCCTGCAGAGGGAGAGAGTTGGTGAAAAGAAGCACCTGCATTGTCACAGGTGGGCAGACCGAATGCTCTCTTTGGAAGTCGTAATGCAAACATGGGATATAAACTTGATAATGATACTCTGATGGAAGGATTAGATATGGAGAAAGGTTAGTTCCACAATTAAAATCTTTGAGTTCAAGGTTTTGTTTCCAACCTTATTTGTCATGAATTGAGCTTGTGGAAAAAAGGATGTATTTGCGGTAGCTTTGGTTCTTTAAGGTGATACTATGTATGACCTAAAAGAATCTCATTGAAGTAGACCAAGAAATGAACACCTCCAGAGATCACAGTGAATGTTAACATTTGTTCCATGTATTTCTGTACAGACCCCTGGGCAGCTCTTACTGTATGCCTTTAGTATCATAGCTTGTTTGCTGGCTTCTAGAACTTACTTCATGTTTCTCTTTAGGCAGCAGAACAAGGTCGGCCCCCTGAGCACACCAGCAAGTTTTATGCCAAGGGAGCACTGCAGTACCTGGTTCCAATCCTCACACAAACAGTAACTAAACAGGTGAGTTATCTTTAAAATCTAGGCACGTAAGCTGTGAAATCTTATTAAGGGTTGTTTAGCTATAGAACACTTCCCATGAAGGAACTTGGCAACGCTGATGTTCTGTCATCTAGTGTGGCAGCTGAACTGAAGCTGTAAGATCGTCCGCATTCTGAGTTGTGTGAAGAACTGAGTCTGAATATACACTGCTCTGATGTGCTGTAGAACTGAGTCTGAATATACACTGCTCTGATGTGCTGTAGTGTCCAAGATAAGACTTTAACAGTTGTGATAAGGCTTCCCTGGTGGCACAAGGGTTAAGTTTCAAGCTATCGCTAGCCACTGCAGCACAAGTTCAATCCCCAGCCAGGGAGCTAACCCTCATGGCTCAGGAGACCTCTGTCTTACCCGCTGCTCACCTCCACAGTGTAGTTTAATAGATCCACCTGTTCTGCTCCTCACTCTGTCTCTGGTGAATCCCCCCCACCCCGCCCCCTCACTTCTGGCTTAGATCTCAGTTCTTCTATGCATAAGTAAATAAAATAATTTTTTTTTAAAGACTTATTTATTTTCATACAAGAGCTGGGGTACAGGCCAGAGCATGGGAGGATGAGAAGATTCACCAGAGACAGAGCAGGGTGCAGAACAGGCAGACAGACCAAAATACACTGCTGAGGGGAGCAGCGGACATGACAGGAGAGGTCTGCCACACCATGTGGGCATATCTCCCTGGCCGGCTGGGAATCGAACCCCTGCTGCAGAGGCTGCGGACAGCTTCACAGCGCTGCGCTCAACCTGCTCTGCCACCGGGAGGCCCAATAAAATAAATCTTTTTAAAAAATAAAGTTGCAGTAAAGTTGGGAGATGTACTAGTTTTAGGCCATTCAGCCATTCATGTATCTTTTACTATCTGGATTTTTTTTTTTTTTTTTCCCCAGATTTATTTATTTATGCATATGAGAGCTGGGGTACAGGCCAAAGGTGTTGGGGGTGGTGAAAGGATTCACCAGGGACAGAGTGGGGAGCAGATAGGCAGACTGACTGAAATACACTACTGAGGGGAGCAGCAGGCGAGACAGGAGAGGTCATGTGTGTAGCTTTTTGCCCGGCCTGGGGTGCGGGATAGCTTCACAGTGCTGTTGCTTAGCCCCTTGCACCACCAGGGATGCCCTGGAGTATTTTCATCTGTCTTTCAAAATGCTGATAAGGTTGGATGAGAGTTACTCAGATTCTAATGGGAGACTCCAACACATGAAAGAAACTTCCACTCATCTTCATGATCATTAACTTCCAAATTAGTAAGATTGAGACACTAAAAAATAACAAGACTTTGTGAAGATGTGGGTTTAAATGAGTAAACGAAGAAGTTTTTGTAAAATATATCTTGATTGTCATTTTTCTTTTTGACTTTATTCATCAATTTCTCTTGGTATGGTGTTTGGAAAGATTCTTATGTCACTTCGTCTTTTCTAGTTCATGTGAAATAATACCAAAGAGCTGGCAGTGCTCTGAGGAACCAATGGTGTAACTTTGAGCACTGCAAAATTGTTTTGTACATAGGAATGCAATTTGTTTGGGGAAGTATGTGTCTTTCATTATAGCTACCTCAAAAGATAAGTTAGAGATAGATTTAGTTTGAAAAGAACTCAATGTTCCCTTAAAATTTTTATCTCATCTTTCTTATAGTTGCTATTTTTTTTATCCTTTGGCCTTCAAGTCAGCTTTTGTATATTTTCTGTTGTGCTTTTCTCATTTGGGAACAAATTTTCTTCAGATATGTAATTTTTTGAAACTGAGCAGGCGGGCCTCCCTGGTGGCACAGCGGTTGAGAGCTGGGCTGCGGGGCTACACGCAGCCTCTGCAGCACCAGTTTGTTCCCCGGCCGCCGGCGAGGGTCCCACAAAACAAAAAAAAAAGAAAGAAACTGAACAGGCAACCTGTCTTAAATTACATGGCCACAATAAGGAAAGATATACCTTAAATTCTAATTGAGGGGGTGATCTGAATATGAAGTCTTTTTTCTGTTTAATTTTTTTATTGAAATTGTCACAATTACTAGCACATTAAAAGCCCCCTTCATGTTTTTCTAGTCATTACTCTCAACCTTTTTAGTCCCATAGATTAATTCTAATTTTGAACTTTTATGTAAAGTTATATACTGGAATCATTGCCTATACTGTTTTGCCTTTCACTCTGTTAGCTATTTATCCTTGTTGCATGTAGTTAAAGTTTATTTCCCTCATATAGTACTATATGGGAATTCCCATCTACATCTTTTAACAGTGGCTGACTATGAGGAAGTCTTTGTAAGTGATAAAAATAAAATGACTATATTTTACTTGTTTCCCCAAAGCTCAAGTTCTATGACATTGGGAGTAGTTGGAAGACTTTTTGAGTTTTGGTGATCCTTTGAAAAAATAGTGAATTAATGCCACTTTGATCCATCAGGACGAAAATGATGATGACGATGACTGGAACCCCTGCAAAGCAGCGGGCGTGTGCCTCATGCTTCTGGCCACCTGCTGTGAAGATGACATTGTCCCACATGTCCTCCCCTTCATTAAAGAACACATTAAGAACCCCGACTGGAGGTACCGGGATGCAGCAGTGATGGCTTTTGGCTGTATCTTGGAAGGACCAGAGCCCAATCAGCTCAAACCACTAGTTATACAGGTGAAATGGAGTGTTGGGGTAGAAAGTGAGATATTTATTGTTTGAAATGTGTATTTTTAAAACAAAGCTATTTGTAGTTGTTCATAAAGGTTATTTCTAGGTATAGGCTGTCGATGATAGGGAAAATATATTTCCCTTTTTTGAGGGGGGATATAGTTCTCAACTTTATTACAAGAGTATACGATTTTTGAGAAACTCAGAAAAGGTCAAAAAGAAAAAGTCATCTATAAATCCACTGTCCGAGAATAGCATTCTTAGCATTTTTACTCTTGGTTTTTAGCCTTTTAACTCTTTTCTCTTTTGCATTGTACACAGTTAACAGGAATATTTGATTAAGGTGCATCTATGTGTGACAGAATGGAGAGCTTACTGTACAAATAGTTGCCACTTTTTTCATTTAATGTTGTATCGTGAACATTTCCCCTATAATTTTTTAATGATATGATGACTATCCTTTGTACAAACTGCCACTTATATAATAAAAGTTCTCCTTGTGGAAATGTATTTTATTTTGCTCTTTTAAATGACATAATAATCCATTATAGAGAGGTTTACTGCATATAGAATGCAAGTTTCATGATGTGGTTGTGTATCCTATGATCTCCACCTGAGTAATCCAGTAAAGACTGCTGAGAGCATTCGTACCACTCTTAAAACTAGGATTTGGTGACCCATCGAACTTTTTCACTTTAATTTTATTATATTGTTGGACAATTCACAGGAATGTCTTCTAAATGACAAAACCATCTTGATGTTTTGGGTTAAAATGCAACCATCAGTATTTCCTTTTCTAAGGTCTCAGTCAGCATGAATTTAACATGTTTTAACTGTTAACATGTTAACTGTTAAAACATGTTAATTTGTTAAAACTTTAACAAATTTTAACTTTTGTTTTTTAGGCTATGCCCACCCTAATAGAACTAATGAAAGACCCCAGTGTAGTTGTTCGGGATACAACTGCGTGGACTGTAGGCAGAATTTGTGAGCTGCTCCCTGAAGCTGCCATCAATGATGTCTACTTGACTCCCCTGCTGCAATGTCTGATTGAAGGCCTCAGTGCTGAACCCAGAGTTGCTTCAAATGTCTGCTGGGTAAGGGATTTTCTTCCTGGTAAGATAAAGAGTTTGGCCAAGCCATCGGCAGAAGTAGGTGTGGGAGAAAATTGCTATACCTCACTGACTTTTTCTGGATAGCATCTCCTTTCTAATTTTTTCAATTAAAATGTGGGGGAGATGGTGACTGCAAGAGCCAGTGGGAGCTGTTGACTCATAGTGACTGGTTCTTGAACCATTTAGAATAGTCATGCTAACCCAGTGGGAAAACTATCTGGAGTCATTTTTCTTCCTTCAGTTGCTTGGGGACAAGAAATTTTGATTAAGGTAGAGAATTGCTGGCTGTAAAGAGTGCCATGGCGGGGAGGGGGCAAGAGGGAAGAAGGTAGGCGGCCTGAGTGCTGAGTCAGTATAGGCTGAATGTAGTTCTTTAGGGACTTTAAGGGCTTGGAGGAAGTTCAAATAAGGAAGGAGTGGGGCTAAAAGTCTTTCTGTGATGGAAAGAGAAATGGTAAAATGACAGAGAGACATGGTTGATGAAATTACTCTGCTGTTTAGAATTGGGCTAAACAAGTGAAATACAAATAATAAATTTCATTTTCAGGGTATCTGTAAAATGCTAAGTTGTCTTGAAGACCATGACAAAACATGTTCAGAATTCACTAGCATTCATTTATTCTTAGATCAGTTGGAAAGGAATACTATTGCCTGAGGTGTCTTAAAGAAAATGAGGTAATCCTGGGGTTGGATTCTTTAAGGACTAATATTAACTCTGTCTGTGTCTAAGGCTTTCTCCAGTCTGGCTGAAGCTGCTTATGAAGCTGCTGACGTAGCTGATGATCAGGAAGAACCAGCTACCTATTGCTTATCATCTTCTTTTGAGCTGATAGTTCAAAAGCTTCTGGAGACCACAGACAGGTAACTGATATTACTGCACATAAATGGATAGGGTCTTTGGATTCACTTCTTTTGTCTTCTGTATGTGGGCTCTCTGACCTAACCATAGAGACATTAATAACAGAAGAAATTAAAGGAATCCTATAGTCTACTTATGTGTAAATGAGAGAAAAGAGTATAGGCTGTTGTTTGTGTTAAAATTGTTCATTTTGGTGCCTCCCCTGGTAGCACAGCGGTTGAGCGCTGGGCCGTGAAGCTGTCCGCGGCTTCTGCAGCGCTGGTTTGATCCCCGGTGCCAGCGAGGGTCCCACATGGCGCACAGATCTCTCCTGCCACACCTGCTGCTCCCCTCAGCAGTGTATTTCGTCAGTCTGCCTGTTCTGTTCCCTGCTCTGGCTCTGGTGAATTCTCTCACCCTCCTGCTCTTCTGACTGTACCCAGTGCTTGTATAAATAAATAATCTTTAAAAAAAAAAAAAGACCTATATTTAAAAAAAAAAAAAATGTTCATTTTGCACTTAATGTTGGAAAGCATTTCTCTACATAGAGACTAATCCAGTGGGGTCCCTTGATTTTGCGTTGTCCACAGCTAACAGGAACATTTGATTATGGTGTATGAGAAATAGTGGCTCTCGTTATGAATTTAGTTGCCACACCAGATCATTAACCTGTATGATATTGGATGAAGAACTTGGCATTAAATACAGTTGATTTAGGGTCTCCCTGGTGGTGTAGGGGTTAGTTTCAGCGCGGTCAAGCAATCACCAGCCACTGCGGCATGCGTTCCATCCCCAGCCAGAGAGCTAACCCACAAGGTGCAGCAGACCTCTCCTGACTCACCCACTACTCCCCTCAGCAGTGTATTTCAGTACATTTGCTTGTTCTGCTCCCCACTATCTCTGGTGAATCTCCCACCGCTTGCACCTCTGGCCTCTATCAGTTCTTGTGTGCATAAATTTAAAAAAAAAAAAAAAAGGTTGATTTATAAATGAGTTTTTGAAATGCAATTTTTTAAAAAGATTGATTTATGCATACAAGAGCTTATTCATTTATTTATGCATACAGAGGGGCGTGGGTGAGAGGATTCACCAGAGACAGAATGAGGAACACAACAGGCAGACTAACTGAAATACACTGCTGAGGGGAGTGTGGGCAAATCAGGAGAGGTCTGCTATGCCATGTGGGTCACCTCCTTGGCTGGAGTTTGAACTCATGCTGCAGTGACTGCAGATTGCTTCATAGTGCTGTGACTTAACCCCTTGCGCCACCAGGAAGGCCCTGAAATAATAAGGGGTTATAAGTGAGGGTCTTAGAGTCATTACCTGTAAATTTCTTTTGTTTCTGTGAGCTGTACTCTTAAGCCATGCTTAAAAGAAACCACTGGGAAGAAGAGTGGGCACATATTCTTCCATGCTTAACTAGTTTATCTCCTTTGTTCAAGATTGTATGTAATGGCATCTCACATGACTAAAGACAGTTGAGGCATGTTTTTCTTGACTTTTTTTTTTTTTGTGGGACCCTCACCGGTGGCCGGGGATTGAACTGTGCTGCAGAGGCTGCAGTCAGCCTCACAACCCAGCGCTCAACCGCTGCGCCACCAGGGGAGACCCTTTCTTAACTTATTTAGGTAACCTTTTCTGTTGTCCACATGGCTTTTAAATTTTATCTATTCAAAGATTTATTCATTTATGCATACAAGAACTGTGGTACAGAGCAGAGGTGTTGGGGTGAGAGGATTCACCAGAGACAGAGTGGGAAACAGAACAAGCAGATTTACTGAAACACACTGCTGAGGGGAGCAGTGGGCAAGGCAGAAGTCTGCCACGCCATGTGGGTTGCTCCCTGGCCAGCTGGGGATCAAACTCATGCTACAGTGGTTGGCGATAGCTTGATAGTGCCGTCTTTAACCCCTGCACCACAGGGAGGCCCGGCTTTTAAATTTTAAATTTAATTTTTCCCTATAATTTTAGCTAATTCCAAACGGACCGTTCACCTGGTCTGTAGACCATAATGAACATTAGCCATTGGCTCAAAGGTTGAAAATTTGGTTTCTGACTGGTTGCGTTGCTAAACTCAAGCCAGATCTACAGTCATCATTTGTGGATTCTTACTTTCCGTGAGACAGTTTTCACATAACAGCAGCTTTGTTCTTCCTCAGTTACGGCTTTAAGATTTTATTGTGTGTTCCTTACAGACCAGATGGACACCAGAACAACCTGAGGAGTTCTGCATATGAATCGCTGATGGAAATTGTGAAAAACAGTGCCAAGGACTGTTACCCTGCAGTTCAGAAAACTACTCTGGTCATCATGGAACGACTGCAGCAGGTGCTTCAGATGGAGGTGAGACTTGGGCCTTCCAGACATTGGCGGGAGGGGTGCCTCACTTTTGCTCATACATGGTTACAACATGTATGATGTGTTTAGTTACTTACCTGTGCTAGCTAGCATCAGTAAAGATTATATAATGGCCCGTGTAACTCCAGCAAAAAATGCAAATACTGAGTTTAGAGCCCTTTTAGAGTAGTATTTTTTCAGAACATGATAGTTCTCTTTTTGTTGTAGTCACATATCCAGAGCACATCGGATAGGATCCAGTTCAATGACCTTCAGTCTTTACTCTGCGCGACTCTTCAGGTATGGTGGTGCCTATCACTTTATAACAACAGGGGAAAGAATCAATATCTTGGGATGATAAGTAAGTTCATGTGCATACAGATCTCTGAAATGGTATAGGTTTTGCTGCTCAGAAGCTGTTCTCAGGAAACTTTGGTCTATGTTAGGTTGGGAGAGTAATATTCCACTTTCCTTTCTTGTCTACATAAAGGTGTGATTTATCTTTGACACGGGATTGTAGGAAAGGAAACTACTTATTTGTGTGATGGTCCTCCTAATTGTACAGCTGTTGTCTGTTGGCAACTTCTAGTCTTTGATTTTCATTGATTTGTCCAGCCCTGGACCGGTGAGATTTGTTCCCCACCTGTGGTTCACTCAGCTAAATACAGCCGTGAGTGTCTACAGTCATCTTTTCAACCAATAGTTGCTGTTGGAAGCTGTATTTGAACTGACATTTGGTGTTGATAGTAGTCTTTTTCTGAGGAAAGACTGAAAATGAAAATACCACTCTCCACTAATGACTGGAGTTGTGAGAGGGGACCTTTTCATGAAAGAACAGGAAGACCTTGGAACTTGGTCAGGCTTAAGTAGGTACTAGATTTTGGTATTGAGTGACATTAACTAGATTTTCTAGCCTGTGAACTCCTTTTTTATTCATAACTTCATTTTTTAAAACATGACTGTTAAGAGTTCGTCAGTCAAAATACAGGAATGATTGAGTAATATCAGTTAAAGGGTAGTGGGGGGAGGGAGGTACTGAGTTGGAAGAAATCAGGTTGACTTCATTTTATTGAGCCTATTTTTTTTTTTAAATATTTTTTGATCATCATCTGTAAATGGGTTAGAATATAGAAGGAGTTGCTTCTAGTTTTAAGAATAGTAATATGAAGTATTCTGCTTTAAACCTGAAGTAGTTTAACCGTCATTCCAGTAAGACTGGATACAGAGGGTACTAATAGGAATTTGTCACACAGACAAAAATAAAATGCAGAGATGACTTTCTGCACCATGGAAGATCATCTCATGTTTGCTGTAAATTGGGAAGGAGTTATTAATATTTGTATGTTAGTTGCTTATGAATTGCACTGTCAAAGCTTTCAAGCATGGAGAGTGGATTTGGCCTTTTTAAAAATGATTTTTCCCCAAGGAACTTAATCGATAGGAAAAAAAAGTTACAGTGTTTTGATTGCATGATTTGTAATCAACAGATTAACTCTTGTTCATTTCACAGAATGTTCTCCGGAAAGTTCAACATCAAGATGCTTTGCAGATCTCTGATGTGGTCATGGCCTCCCTGTTGAGGATGTTCCAAAGCACAGCTGGGTCAGGGGTAGTGCAAGAGGATGCCCTAATGGCAGTTAGCACACTGGTGGAAGGTTAGTGAGCCAAAATCTGGCAAGGAATATCTTTAGAATGCTAGAGTTTCTTTTGACTGCGGAATAATATTGTCCTGTCTTACTTTGCTGGGTTAGTAAGTCAGTTAAATGTTAGATTAAGCATAGATAATAAATTTGTGTATAACTACCTTGCCACTCTTCTTGAAGTAAATGGGGAGCCAGGTTGAATTTGGATTAGCAACTTTGTTTTATTTTGTTTTTTTTTTTTATTATTATTATTTTTTTTAATAGAGGCATGTTTTATTTATTTATTTATTTATTCATTTGTTTGTTTTTTTGTTTATACATGCACTGGGTACAGTCAGAAGCACGGGAGGGTGAGAGAATTCACCAGAGCCAGAGCGGGGAGCAGAGCAGGCAGAAGGACCGAAGTACACTGCTGAGGGGAGCAGCGGGCGGCAGGAGAGGTCTGCGCGCCATGTGGGACCCTCCTCCGGTGGCCAGGGAGCAGCCGGGGATCGAACCGGCGCTGCAGAGGCTGCTGGCAGCTTCGCAACCCAGCGCTCAACCGCTGCGCCACCGGGGAGGCCCTTATTTTGTTTTTTTAATTCTTTCATATTTAATTTTATAAAAGTAACATTTGGCCTATTTTTTTCAAAAGATGTATTTATTTATATACAAGAACTGGGGTGTAAGCCAGAGGTGGGGGGGGTTTGAGAGGATTCACTAGAGACAGAGTGGCGAGCAGAACAGGCAGATCTACTGAAATACACTGCTGAGGGGAGCAGCGGGCTAGACAGGAGAGGTCTACTGTGCCATGTGGGTAGCTCCCTGGATGGTCAGGTCCCAAACTCGTGCTGCAGTGGCTGCTGATAGCTTGATAGCACTGTCTTTAACACCTGTGCCACCAGGGAGGCCCTGGATTAGTAGCTTTTGGTGGCCGGGGCAGGGAGGGGGGTTCTGTTATGTACGTCATCTTCATCAGATTCCTTTACCTCTGAAAGTACTGCTTTATTGAGGTTTGGCTCAAAGATGTAGGAAGCAAAGGTTTCTGTTTTCTTTTCTGGTACCTCCTGATTTAGGTTGTAGTCCTTTGGACTCAGGTTGATACATCATGGTGCCTGGGATGGATGGAGTAAAGCACTAAGTAAATTCTAAGAATTAATTAATCTTAAGGTAACACGTCTGACTCTGCAAAATTGCTTTGGGGAAACCATATATGACTTAAGGCTCTTTAAAGAAGGGCCATTAAAAACATATTAAGGAGCACTTTAGAAATCTGCAGTGCTTCGGGGGTGGCCTATAAGGTATATTACCAAGGCCATTACCTGAGGACTACTTCCCTGAGGACCAGGTCTATTTCTAGCATAAAGAGCCTGTGTTCCTCTGGTCTGGCAACACGTGACCCCCTGGAAGGTCCGGAGAGGTTCATTTGGCCCCTACAGTGCTTGATTTGACTCTGAAGCCCAGCGCTGCTTTTCCTGACTGGCTTAAGTAAGTTCTCGATAGGTTTGGTGTTTTTAAGCTGGCTTCCAGACAGAACATATTATAATTAAATGACGAGGAGGCAGTGTTGACTCAACCCCTTCAAAATTAACCATGACATTCCTTGAGGGCCGTACCACTTGATCATTTTAGCCAGAATGAAATCCCACTCTGGAGATTTGGCATTTATTTAGAAGGCATAAGATTTAGGCCTTCCCAGCTGTAAGGAATTTCCCTTTTCTAAGACAATCTTAATGTCTTCATTATAGAATCAGTATTAACTTCCTCCACCCAGTCTGTTGAGTGGATTGGGTACATTTGGGAAAGCTAAATGATGACTATTGCTCACTTATGTGATATTCTCTGGGCACTGATTCTTTTTTTCTTTACAGTACTGGGTGGTGAATTTTTAAAGTACATGGAGGCCTTCAAACCCTTCCTGGGCATTGGATTAAAAAATTATGCTGAGTACCAGGTAGGCAAGTCTTCTCAAAATAACACTCAAAATTTATGTTCTCTCTTATACTTGATAGTCATTGTGGTACGAAGTCAGGTTCCTGAAGCCAAGGTAGTTCTTCCCTGTGTGTTTTCCCAAGAATTGAGCTTTTTTTTTTTTTTTTTTTTTTTTTAAAGATTTATTTATTTATTTATACAAGATTGATTGATTGATTTATACAAGCACTGGGTACAGTCAGAAGCACGGGAGGGTGAGAGAATTCACCTGAGCCAGAGCAGGGAGCAGAACAGGCAGAAGGACTGAAGCACACTGCTGAGGGGAGCAGCGGGCGGCAGGAGAGGTCTGCGCGCCATGTGGGACCCTCCTCCAGTGGCCGGGGAGCAGTTGGGGATTGAACCGGCGCTGCAGAGGCTGCAGGCAGCTTTGCAACCCAGTTCTCAACCGCTGTGCCACCGGGGAGGCTCGAATTGAGCTATTTTATTTGTTACATTGAGTGGGAATTGGGAGTATGTCTCTGTATTTGACTCTAGGTTCAAATGGTAAAGGACTAGCAGCCAAGTAAGAATGGTTTACCCCTGTAGATAGCCTTTTCATGTAGGGAGACCATTTCCTTGATTCTTTCCAGGTTTGTCTGGCAGCTGTGGGCTTAGTGGGAGACTTATGTCGTGCTCTACAATCCAACATTTTACCTTTCTGTGATGAGGTGATGCAACTGCTACTGGAGAACTTGGGGGTGAGTGTTTATACACACATCTAATTTACCAGTATTTGAAGAAATCATCGATTCTTTCACTAGATGATTGTAAAGGTTGTAAAGTTAGTTAAAGGAATGGATACCCGATGTATGGAGATTGGTGAGGGGTGAACAGAGGTACAATAGAAAGGCTAATGTATAGCCTGTATCAAGAGATACTGTTAATTTTTGTGTATGTTCTTAAGGTCTATATCCAGCATACTGCAGTTGCTTATTATAAATGAGTCTTGGGGACTGAGAGAATTTTTACTTTTTTACCAATTTGTTTTTCCCTTTTTTTTCTTTGTCAGAATGAGAATGTCCATAGGTCTGTGAAGCCACAGATTCTGTCAGTATTTGGTGATATTGCCCTTGCTATTGGTGGAGAGTTTAAAAAATACTTAGAGGTTGTGTTGAATACTCTTCAGCAGGCCTCCCAAGCCCAGGTAGACAAGGTAAGCTTAATGCTCTCTTCTCATCCAGCCCTAATTGGAGGAACAGACTTAGACAAACACAGCATCAGGCAGTGAGTCTGATGAGATTCTCTTCTGTGTCTCTTACAGTCAGACTATGACATGGTGGACTATCTGAATGAGCTGAGGGAAGGCTGCCTGGAAGCCTATACTGGAATCGTCCAGGGATTGAAGGGAGACCAGGAAAACGTACACCGTTGAGTATACCACCCAGTTCACTTAGTCCAGTGTGCGCTTAGCTGAATGTGCTGTGTCTCATTCAAGCTTACTTTTTTTTTTTTTTTAAAGATTTATTTTTATTTAATCGAGAACTGGGGTACAGGCCAGAGGCGTGGGAGGGTGAGAGGATTCACCAGAGACAGCATGGGAAGCAGAACAGGCAGACTGTGAAATACACTGCTAAGGGTAGCAGCAAGTGAGGCAGAAGAGGTCTGCGCCATGTGGGTAGCTCCCTGGCTGGCCGGGAATTGAAACCACGCTGCAGAGGCTGCAGACAGCTTCACAGCGCTGCGCTCAATCTGCTGCGCCACTGGGAGGCCCTGTAGCTAACTTCTTAACTAGCACCTGTTGCTTAAAGGAAAGGGGGAAGGAGAGTGCCTTAATGAGAGTAGCATTGGGGGGAGAATATAGATTTTATTATTTCTGCTCCCCCCACCTGCTTCTTTACCTGAAATTTCTTGAGCGATGCGAGGGATGTGATCTCACAAGGATTTTGAGAAAAGCTGTAGCAGAAATACTGGTTACATCTGTGCCAACTGTGAGTGGCATTTGTGGAGTAAGGGCCTCTGTAAATTCATACAGCTGAATTTTAAGGATTGAGGGAAATCAGATTTTCCATATCACCCGATGTTCTAGTTTTTCTGTTGATTGGAGGAATATTTGTACTTTGCCACTTTGATATTGTGGGCTTAGAGAAAAGGTTTCATTATATATATATATATATAATATATGCCTATATGGTGAGAGGAATACCTTTGTCTTCTATGTTAATTGAAAGAATGACATCTTATTCTGGGGAAGAACAGTTTCTTGCATTATATATAACTATTAATGTAACTAGTTCTTCAACCTGAACCTTCCTATTGGGGGTGTAAAATATTTTAATTATATAAGAACTGGGGTACAGGTCAGAGGCACGGGAGGGTGAGAGGATTCGCCAGAGCGGGGAGCAGAACTGAAATACACTGTTGAGGGGAGCAGCAGGTGAGACAGGAGAGGTCTGCCATGCCACATGGGAATCTCCCTGGCCAGCCAGGAATCAAACCCGCACTACAAAGGCTGCGGACAGCTTCACAGTACTGCACTCAACCCACTGCACCACCGGGGAGGCCCCTGAAATGGTATATTTTTGCCAGTTGTGGAATAGATAACTTCATCAGACTTTCTTTTTTTTAATAGCGGATGTGATGCTGGTTCAACCCAGAGTAGAATTTATTCTGTCTTTCATTGACCACATTGCTGGAGATGAAGATCATACAGATGGAGTAGTAGCTTGTGCTGCTGGACTGATAGGGTAGGTCATACCCTATTTTCAATAACTGAATAGAACTTTTGATGTAAAATTCTGTAGTAGAGAATTTCCAGAGTATTCTAGATGGGAATTACCCACATTTCTTTGGCATGGAGCAGACTCTCTAATAAAACCCAGAGTGTCTGTTTTGGGTTTTCGCAAATGATAATTCATTCTAGATATTTTAGCTGTAGCCTTTATCAGATCCTACAGGCTTCTAACTTCAAAGAACTCCTTATGAAATAAGTTCTTTGAGCTTTAGGAGGCAGTCTATGTGCATCCCATATTCTGATCTTGGTCAACAATTACCTCTGGTTAGCCCTCACTGGTAAGTGTTTTTGAGGCATTATTTGAAGAAAGAACATTGGTCTTGAGGAGCTCGAAGACCTGGATTCTAGTTTTGATTTTATCATGAATTAGATGTGGAACCTTGGGTAAGTCATTCTTTACACCTCATTTTTGTCATCTGTTGAGGACAGGTATTACTTATCTCTAAAATTTCTTCCAGCTTTGAAAGGGAGATGGTTACTAAGAAACCCTTAGCTGACTTAGCATTGGTTTGTAAGGTTCAAAACATGATACTGGTATAGACCAAGCGCTTATTTTCAGGTGTGTTTATTTTGCACAGGGATTTATGTACAGCGTTTGGGAAGGATGTACTGAAATTAGTAGAAGCTAGGCCAATGATCCATGAACTGTTAACTGAAGGACGGAGATCGAAGACTAGCAAAGCAAAAACCCTTGCTACATGGGCAACAAAAGAACTGAGGAAACTGAAGAACCAAGCTTGGTAAGAGCTTGTCTCTCTCTCTTCTACTTTCTTGGGGAGGAGGTACTTTTCTTTAGACTGTTCTGATAAGGGCTGCCTTCTTTTGGTGTATTGTTTTGTACTCTTCCCTTATAAATGCTTCTGAGCCAGGCCTTTATCCCTCAGCCTGGTACTAGTAGGAGGGTCAGGCAACCTCAATCTTTAATTGAACCAAACATGATTCCTCGTGGTGAAGAAGAATAGCTTACATAACGAGAATTTACTCAAATCCCCAAATAAAGTTCTCAATATGGTACTTTCCCATAATTCTCTTTTCTGCTCTATTCCATTCTTCATGTTCTTTTTTTGTCTTTACTGCCAGTGCTTTTAGACATTGCTCAGCTCTACATAAGATATCCAGCGTGTCTGATCCCACTTTGAAGTGTATAGTTTTGCTTTCTTTCGGATACTCGCGTTGTCTTATTCTGCAGTTTTTGAGTTACATCTTTTTAGTAGTCTTCCCTCTGATAATAGATGCTAATGAAAGCAGGTAGACGGCACAAAAGATTGACCTGTTTTCCATCTGTTTTTAGATCTGTTACCATTGGGATGATAACCTGAGACCCCCACTGGAAATCTCCAATCTTTTGAAAAACCCGGAAGTGAGGAGTGTGCACGGATGCTGAATGTTTGGGAATGAGAGGATGAGTGAATGAGGCTTGAAAACACACCACATTGAAAATCCTGCCACAGCAGCAGCCGCAGCCACCAACAGCAGCGCTGTTAGTGAGCTAAGTAAGCACTGACTTCGTAGAAAACCATAACATCGGCCGTCTTGAGAAGGAAAAATGATGGATTTACTTGCTTAAAAAAAAAAAAAAAAAAGAGGAAGGTATCTCTTCCCAGGAAAGGCTAGAACTAGCTTTTGTCTTTTGGCTGGTGCCAAGTGGAATGACTGGTTTGGGAAGAGAAGGAGGGACTGGGTTCAGCTGTGGTGCTTTGTTGTAAAAGGCAGCCTGGCCTTTGCTACTGATAAGGAAGATGGAGCCTGGGTCTCAAGCCCACCTTTGGTGTACCTTTGCCACACAGTGCTGTATGCGTGCTGGCTAAAAGGAGGGTGAGGGCTTCTTTACAGTCTGAGAATGAGTGTGTGTGAGTGAGGCGGTATCCACATTCTCAACTTCAAGTCATTGCAGTTTCTTTTTCCCAGAAAAAAAAGGGGTTGCATTTCATAAAACTAACTGAAGTTCTGTCTACTGATGCAGCACAAGAGATGTAAAAGGAAAAAAAAAAATGGAAAGACGCTTTTTAGGTTGTTTTTGTTGGTTTTTTTTTTTTTTGTTTTTGTTTTTTTTAAATCTAGGGAAAACACTGACGAATGGTCAGAGCTCCCACCCTGATCTTTTCATCAAGGCGCTTTCCTAATATGGTTCAACTGTGAATGTAGAAGTGGGGGGGAGGGGGGAGAAAAAGAAAACTCTGGAGTTAGAGGATATAGAAAAAAATAAAAAATACAATTGTTACAAATAAAGAATGCAGACTTCAAAACAAAAACAAAAAAAAACCACAACCCAAACAAACCGAAATTTTTAATGCTTGGAATTGGCAGCACGAAAATTCTCTCCTGAACATGTATTGTGGCAGTCTGAACGCCCCCAGAAAATTGTGCCAAAGAGTTTAGAAAACAAATATACAGTAAAAGTAAATATACGCATATACACAAAATAGCAAACTTCAGGTAACTATTTTGGATTGCAAATGAGGGTAAATTTAATGTTCAAAAAATCTGATAAAATAACCATTTGGAAACTGCTTGGCCTTCTGTTCTCTTTTATTTGATTGACTACAATGCGGTATTGGTCTCTTGCTGCACTTCAAAACCAACTAGCGAAAGAAAAGACAAAAGAATATATATATATTAAATAAGTATATATATATAAGTATATATATATACACTAACTAGAACTCTTGTGATGAAAATGGCACTTGAAAAAGGTTATATTTTTCCACTGAAGTTGATTAATAAAATGGTGTCAAACATTCCCCTGGTCACACGCTTTAATATTTTTTTAAAGTGTGATGTGCTATGATTAACCATTAATCAGTCTTAGTTATTTCCCTTTTACAAGGGAGCAGGGCACCATAAATTTTGGTTTTAGAATCTTTCAGCAATAAGAAGGGATGTTGGTGAGCTTTGATCTTCTTGGTTTTGCGGTTATTAGGCGTTTTTGCTGGCATTTTTAATATGCTACTTTCAGAAACACCTAGGAAGATTTTTAATTGCTTCCTGGTATTTGGAGGATTAAAAAACCAGACCTTAAATTCCCACTTTCATTTCCATCCTTGCAAAAAAAAAAAAACAAAAACAAAAACCAACCAAAACATATATATGTATGTGTATATGTGTGTGTGTGTGTGTATATATATATACATATATATATATATATGGGCTTACGTTTTTCTCTGCCATTTTCCCCTCCTGTCCAAGCCTCCATTCATAAGTGGGATTGGCTTAGTTTTGCCCATCCATATGGCAGCATCTCTAATAGCTTTTGTACAGGGTATCAGATATTGTGCCTTTTGGTGCCAGGTTCAAAGTCAAGTGCCGATCTATGAACCAGTGTACAAAAAAAAAAAATCCAGGTGTTAGAAGGAGAGACGCTCCATTGTGAATATAAGAGCTCACACCAGCTCCTAAGCCCTATTGAGAAGAGGCCTAGCCCTCTAATGCCTTGTTTAAATTTTTGTTGCTGAGGGAGAGGATATTCTAAACCATTCCTGATAGGGGTTGGTCAGGGCTTAAGGAGGGGGCAGTAATATTGGGGAGAAAAAAATCTGATCATTCCTCAGTGCTACCCATTTCTGTCCTGTGTGGGCTGCTTAGCTAGACAGCAGGAGAATAAAGTACACCAAGAACCATAATGAAAACAAAACCTTCCGTGTGTTTTGTCATGTTTTGTTCCAGGGAAGCAGTTGACAAGTGCTGTTATTAATGCTTTCTCCCAGATCCATTCAATGATGGAAAGGAGAAAAATGGGCTGATTGGATTGTGGTCTTGGTGCCTCACAGTTACTCTGCGCTGGTTATGCATTTAATCCTCTTTTCCTAGTTACCTTTGGCTAGTGGGTTTTCCATAGTCTGGGTATTGTCCTTAATTGATTGTACCACCTAAGGCAACTGGATGCAAAGTGCATTCTGTCCACTTGCTATCTGGGCCTTCCCCACCCTAGTCTTGGCACATTCCTGCAAGAATGTAGTTACCGTCTGCTTGGGAAGATAGTGCAAATGTGAAGAAAATGGGCATCAGACTAGGCTTTGATTTGCCACAAGTGGCAGCTGCCTATATCAATTACAATTACATTTATTAATTTTGCCTTTCATTTTCCCAGCTCCCCTCCGTTGAAATGTTGAATTTTGGCTGTCAGAGGCAACTCTAATATTGCCTTAGGGACTTGTGGAAAAGGGAGGGGAATTATTCAGTGTAGTGTTTTCACTTTTAGAACCAAGTAATCTAGTCACTATTTAAGAAGTGCGTTAGTCAAATTTAAGAGAAATCCAAACTCCATCAGCTTTTGATAGCATCTTGGTTTTTGAAACAATTTCAGTCTGTAATTGGCATTCAGAATACTCTTGGCATGCCAGTCTGTGATGGCATTGAAGACCTGTTAAGACACTTGAGCCCAACTTTATTAACCAAAACTGATACCACCACCTTTATCTTCTAAATAAAGTCCGCTTTATTTTTATTTTCAACATTTTGCTGCTTCATTTTTGGTTCCAGATGGCGTCACCTCCTTGGAGGTGAAATGAATGGTTTGAGAGAAGCTGGAGCGTGTGGCGGTGGTAGATGTGTGTGTGAGCTGGGGAGAAAAAAGACACATTGGTTTTAAGGATGGACTCCATATAGTGTCATGGGGAATAAATAAGAGGGTTCCTACAAATGAGGTAGTGAAAATGTGGAGTAAGGTTTTCTGTGTGGCGAGTGATTCTGAAACTACTGGAGATTGTCCTCTGTCCTTGTGCACATTTTTCAGCATAATGATCTGATCTGTTCAATGGCTCATCCAGAGGTTGGCTTTTTACTTAGTTTGCAGTGTGTACTTAATTTCTACTTCCACTCCCCTTCACCCTCCACCTCCCCCGGAAACTCATAGAGGAAAGATCACTAACTTGGGATTTAAGAAAGTCCTTTCCTTTATCCAACTGCTTATCAGCATAGTGGCACCTCTAGATTATTTTATGGGAAAAAGCACTTTGTTTGGCAAGTAAAATGAGCCCTGATCTTAATTTTCCTACCTTAGCCTCCACAGGGCCTTTCACCTTTTCTGATTGCATACCGTCAAGAAATTTTTCATCATGCATACCTCATGTGTTGATAAGTTACACTTGTACTACTGTACCCCATACGTTGTGTAATCATAAGACACAAAAATAGATATTAAAAGGCAATCATATGAAAAATAAATACAAATAGAAGTTCTAATATTTTATTTCTGTGCCCAGTCTTGGAGATTAATGGGTTAGAGGGTAACTTGTAATTTTTAAATGATTGCATTAAATCCAGACCAATGGCAATTGACCCAGAACATTTCTTCATTAAAGGTACGCTTAATGGAATGGATGATAGCAGTTAATTGTCAAGTGGCAGGGAGGGGAAAAAAAGTGCATTTTAACAGTTCTCCAGGTAATTTGCTGTTCCCCACAACAGGATTTCAAAGGTTCTAGTTCTGATGGAGGCTTAGAGTAGAAAGTTAGGGATGGAGGCGTCAGCAGAGCCCTATCAAGGATTCCAGGTTGACCTGCCTGAAGTGAATAATAGTCGACATTGAGAAGATTCTATGTATTAAATGTAGTTCTTGCCCCATTTTACTGATCAGGAAGGAGGGGCAGGTTCATCACACCCAGGCCACACCAAAACCTGCGTTTTCCTCATTTGCCATAGGTGGATACTGTCAGCATCTTAGTGATAGAAAACAAGGTCAGGTCCAGGCTCACACTTCAGATACGCCATCCATTTCCTTCACAACACTCATTTTAAATATATTGCCAGTTTCCCCCTTAAATAATGTTAGCTTCCTAATGCCATTGGCCTTGGCTTTCTTTTCCATAGAGTATCCCCAGCCTAGAGCAGTGCCTAACATTGTAGACTAATAAATATTTGCCAAATGAATATATCTGCAGTAGGGAGTTTGTAATGGTATCACTCAGCTTTCGAAGGGCAGATCATCCAGAAACCTGGGAATGACAGGGCTTCAGGAGACAGGCTCCAAGCGCCTCCCCTCATTTGCTGTGGATCACTTCAGGCTGACCTCTTAACGTTGAGTTAACTGAAAGGATCAGAACTAGTCAATAGTCATTATATAATAGTCAATAGTCTGTTCTATGCATTTACCTGATGCCAAACTTGTAGGAGTTCTCTTAAATAGAGAAAAGAATTCCTCATCACTAGCAAAGGCACCATTTTGGTCCCGTTCCCACATAAGGCAGCAACAGAGGAGTTTGGAAGCTAGCAAAAGCTAGTGAACAAGGCTGACCACAAGCTGTACTGACCATTTGGATACCTATGTAGTATGTGGTTAGAGGATGAGCAGATAAGACACTGCCCTGGAGGTTATGGTTAACTAGTAGGGAGAGCCTTGGATGAAAGGTTTTGGGGCTAAAAAGCAAAGCCTTTTATCCAAATTATTTTTTGTAAAGATTTTTTTATGCATATAAGAGCTGGGATTTAGGCCAAGGGTGTGTGTGGCGGGGGCTCAGGGTGAGAGGATTCACCAGAGGCAGAGTGGGGAAGAGAACAGACAGACTGACCAAAGTACACTGTTGAGGGGAGCAGCGGGTGAGTCAGGAGAGGTCTACTGCGCCATGTGGGAAACTGCTCCCTGGCCGGCCAGGGAATCAAACTTGTGTTGGAGAGGATGCAGACAGCTTCATAGGTTGTGTCTTCACCCCTTGTGCCACCAGGGAGGCCTGTTATATCCAAATTCTTAATGGGGTCCATTGGTAACCTCTTGGCAACTCTCAAACTCTTAAGGGGTGGGGATATGACCTTTTCCAAGTCAACTTTTTCTCCTCTTTTTTTTTTTAATTAGTTAATTTATTTATACAAGCGCTGGGTACAGTCAGAAGCGCAGGAGGGTGAGAGAATTCACCAGAGACAAGAGTGGGGAACAGAACAGGCAGAGTGACGAAATACACTGCTGAGGGGAGCAGTGGGTGGCAGGAGAGGTCTGCACGCCATGTGGGACCCTCGCCTGGGATCGAACCAGTGCTGCAGAGGCTGT